AAAATAAGGATCTGACTAAAAATAGCTTGAAGGACCCATAACTTTCACATAATTACCACTCAAGAGAAGTGGGAGAAGAGGAGACAAAGAGGACAGGCCAGATAATTCAACTACCACATGGCAACAAAAGCTGATCAACCACATAACCAATGAATCCAAATCCTTCATCCTCTAATCCTTGTTTGGGGCCACATTTTGTTGCTTAGAAAGACTCCCAGATTTAGAAGGAAAATGTGTATAGAAGCAATTTGATTCCTTCACTCCAACATGTCATCAAACTGGTCAAAAAACTATAAGGTTCAATTGCTTCTGATCAGAATGAACCATATGGCATAAAAATGAAGAAAAAAAGGCCTCTACACATGAAACTCCAATTGAGAAAGAGACATTTGTGATCAATCAACCAAACAAGATTACAAACTCAACATATGGTGTAAGTGTACAAGTTCAGGATCATCAATGTACCTAATCTCTATCCTAATCTTGGATTCATTCTCATGGCTCTACGCTCAACTGAAGAAAAAGAAGTTTCATCCTTACTTGAATCCCAGGCGTCTGTGAACTGTGGCGAGAGTCCATTTGATATCATTCCACCATTATATCACATCTCATAACCTAAATGAAATCAATTCAGTAGACCACCAGCAACCAAGAATGGCAACTAATAAGGCCTAAGAAACTTCTTTAGCTGCAGCTACAACAGCCTCTGCTGTAATACCAAACTCTTTGTATATCTTTCCAGCAGGAGCACTGGCACCGAATCCGTCAATTCCAATGGCTTTTCCTTTATCTCCAACAATTTTCTGCCACCCAAATGTTGATGCAGCTTCAATGCTAACTCTAGCTGTAACAGATTCTGGAAGGACGCTTTCTTTGTAATTAGCTGGTTGTTCATCGAAAAGCTCCCAACAGACAAAGGAAACAACTCTCACTGCCTTTCCTTCTTTCCTGAGTTCATCGGCAGCCTTGACAGCAATTTCTAACTCTGAGCCAGTACCGATCAAAATGACATCAGGTTTGTTGCCTGAAGAATTGTCTGATACAATGTAGCCACCCTTTGCTGTTCCTTCAATAGAAGTTCCAGCAAGTTGAGGCAACTTTTGTCGAGAGAGGGCAAGGATTGATGGTGTCTTCCTTCTGAGGACAGCCACTTTGTAAGCACCGGATGTCTCATTCCCATCTGCTGGACGGAACATCAGAATGTTGGGCATTGCACGGAAACTTGCCAAGTGCTCAATAGGTTGATGGGTTGGACCATCTTCTCCTAGACCAATTGAATCGTGGGTCATAACATAAATAACTCCAGCTTCAGACAAGGCTGAAATTCGCATGGCTCCTCTCATGTAGTCAGTGAACACAAAGAAAGTAGCACAATAAGGAATAAAGCCAGGGCTATGCAGAGCAATCCCATTACATATGGCTCCCATACCATGTTCACGAACGCCAAACCTTAAATTACGCTCTTCTGGAGTGTTCTTTTGGAAGTCACCAAACATTTTCAAAAGGGTCATGTTTGATGATGCAAGATCAGCACTACCACCAAGGAAACCGGGTAGAACCTTGGCGAGAGCATTGAGGTTTTGTTGTGACAAGTTTCTGGTGGCATCAGCTGGGCTCTCGGGAGTGTAAGTCTGAGATCAAGAAAACATACAAATAACTGATTAAGATAATTTTGATACTGCAAAAGCCACAGAAATTATCAGTTTTTGGCAAAGCCATATTAGAGGAAAGCTGACTTAGGAGCAGTTATGCCAAAATAGTTATTTCAATTTTATTTAGAATTTAGGGCCTTGTAGTCAGAAAAGATAGATGAATGTTTGGAAAATCCAAATGAAGACAAGCTCTCGCTTACTGCAATAGAAACAATTTGCAAAACCCCAATCAAAAGTTAAGGACTGATATAAAGATAGTCTATACAAAAAGCAGTTAAACTTGGATTGAGATTTGAAATTAAGATAACAATCACTCACAGGAAGAGCTTTCTCCCATCCAGCAGGTAGTTCACCTGTAAAGATTGATTTCAAATCTGCAGCTTCCTCTGGGTACTTTTTCTCATATTCGGCAAACTTGGCATTCCATTTCGTTTCAAAGGCAGCACCCTCAGCTGCATGACGACTCCAATGGCTGCAGAAAGTTTGTGAAACCAATATAAGTGACAGCAGAGGGTAAAATAAACTAGGTAAAGAGGATGTTATAGTAACCTCTTCACATCTTCAGGCACGTGGAAAGGCTCATAAGGCCATCCCAGGTTATTTCTAGTGGCCTCTACTTCCTTTGCTCCAAGCGCACTACCATGCACACTGTACGAGTTTGCTTTGTTAGGAGAGCCAAAACCGATGGTTGTAGTGACCTGCAAGAAAAGAACAGTCAGAATACTGATAGACATTACAAAGAAACGAGGAAAGACAAAGGGAAAAACAAAAAGCCAGAAAGAAAGAGCAGTATAAACTATATGGTAAACAAAATGCAATGCTTTTAATGTGTTTCCAGGATTTCTTCCTAGTTCGGGACAGTATATATTGGACCTTGATCATAGTGGGCTTGTCTTTGACAGATTTGGCTTCCTTAATTGCAGCACGAATCTCATCATAACCGGTGTTACCATTCTTCACCCAGATCACGTGCCACCCAAGAGCCTCAAAACGGGCACCAACATCCTCAGTGAAAGCAATTTCTGTGTCACCATCAATTGAGATGTGGTTGTCATCATAGAAAGCAATCAGTTTTCCGAGTCCCCAGTGTCCAGCAAGGGAACAAGCTTCTTGTGAAATACCCTCCATCTGGCAACCATCACCGAGAATAACATATCTGCACAGCCAACAGTCATTTGCCATTAGGGAAACAAGAAAATACAAAATGAAAAGGGTTTTAGGAGGAGCAAGGAACTCTCTTACGTGTAGTGGTCAACAATCTCAGCATCTGGCTTGTTAAAACGAGCAGCCAAATGCTTCTCTGCAAGAGCTAAGCCAACAGCATTGGCAATACCTTGCCCCAGAGGACCTAATAACAAATAAAAGAAGATCACAATCAATTATATGGACTCATAACTCAAAATTTATGGAAGCAAATATATAGCACCAGAAGCAGAAATATGAATCTATAATTATCAAAAGTATATAGGCATAAAGTACACTAACCAGTGGTGACTTCAACACCAGGAGTCTCAAAGTTCTCAGGGTGACCAGGGGTTTTGCTACCCCACTGACGGAAACTCTTCAAATCCTCTTCCTAATCAGTTAGTAATACTAAAGATAATCAGTAAGGCATAATGAACAAATATAACTAGTTTAAACTTCAATAACAAAGATAATTCATAGATAGTCACTTAAACAAAAATATCTATACCAAATCAAACTAAAGACCATCAATCTCCTATAAACAATTGAAAATATTGTCAGGTATTGCCCAAAGTCATCAAACAATGATTTTTCTATCAACTTATAAAACAATGGGATGGAAAACATTAAATCTGAAGCCTTTTCTTCCTAAAAAGAACTATCCAAATCCAATTCTGAACAGAAAATAGCAAGATAGAGGGTGTGTTTCGATATAAAACTTTTCTTTTGGTCCAAGTATTAAAGGATCACAACAAATGTTCATCTGAGTTTCCCTTTTGGTTGAAACTTTTCTTCCATCTTCTACAATTCAAGCAATCAAATACTCCCTCTGTTCCAGTTTATGTGACACTATTTCCTTACAAATCTATTTCGAAAACGAAAGACACGTTTCTATATTTGTAAACAATTTAACTTTAAACATTTAGTTCTATCCTCAATCACAAGTTATTATAGCCATAGAAATGTCATGACATGTATAAGATCATAAGTCTCAAAAGTCTTTGTTTCTTCCTTAAGATCGGCCTCGTGTCAAACTATATCACATAAATTGAAACGAAGTGATTACATTTTTGGACATCCCAATAAATCCACAAGAACACACACACGCACACGCACACAACACACACACAAGAGAGAGAGAGAGAGAGAGAGAGAGAAATAGACCTGAACAGCATCATAACCAGCGAGGTGAAGGAGAGCATACTGAAGCATACAACCATGACCAGCAGAAAGAACAAACCGATCACGATTAAACCAATAAGGATTCTTGGGATTATACTTCATCACTTCATCGTACAGTATATGACCCATAGGTGCACAACCCATGGGCAAACCCGGGTGACCCGAATTAGCCTTTTCAACAGCATCAATAGCCAAGAATCGTATAGTATTCACTGATTTCTCAACGAGGGCCGCATCAGTCTTCTCCAATGTGTCTACAGTTGCAGAGGCCCGAACAGAAGTCTGTTGTTTAGAGATGGTGGAGGAGGAGGGAGGAGCACGGCGATGGGTGGTGGTGAAAGTGGTGGATTTAAGGCCGCAGAAAGTGGGGAAAGAGAGAGAAGGAGAAGAAGAGGTCGAGGCATGGCGAGGGAGAGAAGGAGAAAAGAGAGCTGCTTGAGAGAGAGTAGTGAGAGAAGATGAAGAGGCCATGGCTCTACTGTATTGATAATTGGGGAGGAGAATAGATAGATATATTGGATAATTGAAATACGTGAGCCGTTGGTTAGCTTTTGGAGAGAGCAAGGGGGGGTTACCTGTTTCTTATTTTGGCTCATTATGGCTCGGACAGAGAATAGAGATGAGTTACCTGTTTGATTTCAATTATCCAAATATCGAACTTTACCAATACAATTAATTCTAAAACACTTCCCATAAAAAGTATCTTCATTCTAAATTCGAGCTTATTTTAACAACATAATAGGGACTAGGGAAATTCAACTCAATAACAATGTGTTGAATATCAGTGAATTCAAATTCGGGTTAAGTAGTAAAAATTTTGCTTTGAGTTTACGTAATGCAAGACCTATATTTTCTTTCATACACATTTATCACTTAATTATTGGTAAGTGATATATATAATCAGTCTATTCATCTAACGTAAATTGTTTGATTTGATATAAATGCTAAGCGCAAATAAACATTTACCCAGTTTAATTGTGGTCGCCTTCGTCTAACAACTGGACTATTATAGGCAGTCATTTCCTCATACTTATATTACCAAGTAAAGATAAATATAACTAAAAAGGAAAAATAAAGCTGTATAAATTTTTTAGGAAAAGAAAAATTGGTAGAGGAAAGTGAGCTTTCAAAAATTGGTGAGCTAAAAATATTTGAAAGAAGACTATAAGCTTATTGGCTAACAATCTTCAATTTTTGTGTAGTTGTTTGGTTGATTGAACAGTGATTCTGGGATTGACAAGAGGGCTTACTATTTTTCTTCTTCTTTTCCTTTTCAATTATTCTGAAAATTTAGTGGAGGATGGCCTCCGGCAGATATGGCTAAATCATCGCCTAGCTCTTTCTAGTTCTACCATAAAAGTTAGCGCAATTATGTCTATTTTTCCTTATCAAAAGGTTGCTCGACGGTAATTTGAGGAACAAACTTACCTAATGCTGCCAAAAATAGCACATAAAGAGGAGAAATCTGTTGAGTCAAAAATATTTTAATATCTAAAAAGAATATTTACAATTATGTCTAGGTTCATTATTTTAATATAATCTTGATAGTATTGTAACTGAAAGAATATTTTCAATTAACAATCTAATTTTAACGGTTTGGCAATTGATGGCGGCTTTCAATACTTTTACGTTTTGCATTCTTGACATTGAATTTTTAATGATTTGTTTGTCAGTGAATTCTTGTTTGATCCTTTCTTTTACATTATATTTTTGTTATTAACGTATAGTAAGTTAAAAAGCCATTATGGCTTGGAAATGATTTTAACTTTGAAGCATACGTTTCTGAAGGTTTTAAAAAGCCTTTATGGCTTGGACAATTTTATATATCAGAGTGTGCATTTTTTTTGCACTATATATGCTTCTTCGGTTTTACATAGAAGAGAGTGAAAAATAATAACAACTTTTCTTCTTCTTTCTATGGTGCTAGGTTTTCTTCTTATAAATCTTTGTTGTTTCTGCTCCTAGTTATACTAGAAGAGCTTGTTGAATCCTGGGGGATACGCCTAATATTATTTATCTCGGTGTGGGCGAAATATCCTTAAGGACAGTGTCCTTGACACACCTCAAGCTAAACTTTTTATTCTCCATATTCAATCAAATTTTTCCCGCCAATCTTAAGATATTTACACGCTGTTATTATGGAGAATAACGCTGCTAATGTTGTTGTTGTTGCTACTGGGCACCTGCTGTGCCTACTGTTTCTGTTGTTGTTTCTCACTAATTACCTATGCCAAATCTTTTTCCGATGTTTCAAAAATTATGATTTTTGGTGGAGATAATTTTAACCGCAAGCACGTTGTTTGGTTGACAAAGAAAACAAATTGCTACTAGAAGCAGCCTTGGGAGGACAACAACGTCAGAGAAAATCAAGTAACAGGTATGATAAAAGAAATGGTTATACTCCCAAAACACAACAATCAACCTGGCCACTATGTTGCTCAATGCCGAAAAAGAGTTGGGAATGACAATCTCACTAAGGCTAAAGTAAATTTGACTGAAGGCCAAAGTGGATGATATAATTATGCGGTTTGTTTTCCCAAGTGAACCTTGTGGGCCAATGTGAAAGATTGGGGTGTTAGATTCTGGTGCCACTAGGCACATATGTGCTAACAAAAAAGACTTTGTGTCTTACACCCAAGTTGAGGAAGGAGAAGAAGTTGTCTATCTTGGTGATTCAAGAACTACTCAAGTTCTTGGAAAAAGGCAAAGTTTCTTCTCAAAACTCACATCTGGCAAAACTTTGGCATTGAATGACGTGTTGCATGTTCCTAGTATCCGAGCCAATTTGGTCTCTGTGGGATTATTAGGAAAAGGTGGGGGTGAAGGTTGTTTTTTTAATCTGATAAGGTTCGTGTTGACCAAGAATAATAATTTTGTTGGCAAGAGATATTATAACCATGGCTTGTTTGTACACTAATGTTATCAATGAAAATACTAGTACTTCTGCTTACTTGATTGATTCTTTTAATTTATGGCATGCAAGATTAGGACATGTTAGTTATCTTTATATTAAAAAAAATGCATTCTGAAGGTCTTATTTCAAATATTAATTTTTCGAATATTGATAAGTGTGAAGTTTGTGCAGAAGCTAAACAAACTAGAAATCATGTGCTTCAGTATTATAGAGAATCTGATTGTTAAGTTTAGTACATACTGATTTAGGAGACTTGAAACAATCTATGACTAGAGGAGGGAAAAAAATATTATGTGACTTTTATAGACGATTTTTCCTAGATATACAAAAGTTTATTTGTTGAGAAATAAATATGAAGCTTTTGATAAGTTTTTTAATTTATAAAGCTGAAGTAGAAAATCAATTGAATAAGAAAATCAAAAGAGTTAGATCCATAGAGGTGGTGAATTTATTTGGTTGAATGATTATTGTGAAGAAAAAAGGCATAATTCACGAGATAACACCGCCATATTCTCCACAATCAAATGGTATAGGGCGGAAAGAAAAAATAGGACCTTAAAGGAAATGATGAATAGCATGCTTGTTAGTTCTGGTACTCCGGATAATCTTTGGGGTGAAGCCATTTTATCTGCTTGTCATTTACAAAATAGAATTCCTTATAAGAAAACGGGTAAAACTCCTTATGAGTTGTGGAAAGGGTATCCACCTAATTTGAAATATTTGAAAGTGTGGGTGTGCCTTGCTAAAGTTATGTTGCCTGATCCTAAAAAAAGGAAAATAGGATCTAAAACATCTGATTGTATGTTTATTGGGTATGCTGAAAACAGTGCAGCATACAAATTTTTAGTAGTCAAAAGTGATGTACTTGAAAATAATACTATTGTTGAAACAAAAAATGCTGAATTTTTGAAAATATTTTTCCTTTAAAATTTGAGAAAATTTATGATGCTCCTATTACTCCTAGTGATAATATTTCACATGTTCCAATTGTTCAAAATGATTTTGAAAGTGAGGATTTAAGAAGAAGCAAAAGACCAAGGAAAGAAAAATCTTTTGGTAATGATTTTTATACTTATCTTGTGGATAATGATCCTTTAACATATTCTGAAGCTATTTCTTCATCCGATGCCTCATTTTGGAAAGAAGCTATTGATGTAGAATTAAATTCAATTTTACAAAATAAAACTTGGATTTTAGTTGATTTACCTCCGGGAGCTAAACCAATTGGTTGTAAATGGATTTTTAAGAAGAAACTTAATCCGGATGGTTCCATTGATAAATACAAAGCTAGACTTGTTGCAAAAGGTTTTACCCAAAAGCAAAATATTGATTATTTTGACACTTATGCTCCTGTAACTAGAATTTCCTCGATTCGTGTTTTACTTGCCTTGGCTTCTATTTATAAACTTTTTATTCACCAAATGGATGTTAAAACTGCATTTTTAAATGGTGATTTGGAAGAAAAAATTTACATGGAGCAACCTGAGGGTTATATAGTACCTGGACAAGAAAACAAAGTATGTAAATTGCTAAAATCTTTATATGGTCTAAAACAAGCGCCTAAACAGTGGCATGAAAAATTTGATCAAGTATTGATTAATGATGGTTTTTCATCAATTGAAGTAGATAAATGTGTTTATACAAAATGTGTGGATGGTACAACTGTTATTATTTGTCTTTATGTGGATGACATGCTTATTTTTAGTTCTAGCCTTGATTTGGTACATAAAACCAAATTTTTCTTGTCTTCTAATTTTGAGATGAAAGACATGGGAGAAGCTAATGTTATTTTAGGCATGAAAATTATAGGAGATGGCAATAGTTTGATGTTGACTCAAGAACATTATGTTGAAAGAATTCTTAAAAAATTTGATAATTTTGATGTGGTACCTGTAAGCACTCCTTATGATGCTAGTAGTCAATTAAAAAAGAATAAGGGAGATGCTGTAGATCAAAATAAATATGCTCAAATTAATGGTAGCCTAATGCATTTGATGAATTTTACTATACCTGATATTGCATATGCTGTGTGTAGATTGAGTAGATATACTCAAAACCCGAGTCATGATCATTGGAATGCATTAGTAAGAGTAATGAAATATTTGAGAGGTACCATGAACTATGGTATTAAATATAGTGGATTTCCCACTGTACTAGAAGGATACAGTGATGCTAACTGGATCTCTGATTCAGATGAGACAAAATCCACTAGTGGTTATGTGTTCACCCTCGGTGGGGGTGTTGTGGCATGAAAATCAGCTAAACAAACAATAATAGCTAGATCTACCATGGAATCTGAGTTTGTGGCATTGGAATTAGCTGGCAATGAGGCCGAGTGGTTAAAGAACCTTTTGGCGAGTATTCCACTAGGAATTAAACCGACACCTTCTGTGTCGATGCATTGTGATTGCCAAGCTGCAATAGCCATTGCCAAAAATAAATCCTTTAATGGAAAGAGTAGACATATCCGATTGAGACATAATGTGATAAAGCAGCTGCTGAAAGATGGAACTATTTCCATAGATTATGTGAAGTCAGAAGTGAATTTGGCCGATCCTCTGACTAAACCTTTGGGAAGGAAATTAAAATCTGAAACATCGAGGGGAATGGGACTTT